ATATATATATATATATATATATATATATATATATATATATATATATACACACACACACATATATAGACAAGTGCAGAACAACTACAGCTAATCACCTCTTTCAGAAAGTTGTGAGGAGAGTTAATTATTAGACACTTGTAAGCATCACTAAAAGCACCGTGGGCCTGAAAAGTGTTTAAACAATGTTATGGCCTTTTTGCGAGAAAAGTATCCTGCATGTTTATGACTTGTGTTTTTGTGTGTTTGTGTGCCAAAACTCTGATCATCTGACGACACTAACGATCCCAGATTACCATTAAAGCGGGATTTGACAGTAAAATCTGACAAATCACACGGCCGGATTATGAGCTCAACCAACATTTTGTGGAGTGTGTTTCCAAGTGAGCAGATCTCTGTGATCTCAGTTGATCTGAGTTACTGGGAATGTCCCCAACTTTCACTGTCCCTTGGTAAAGTAGTGGTAATACACTGGGGAGAAGAGTCAAACACAGGCAGAAGAGTGAGGTCCAAATCCAACAGGGTGCTTAGACTGATCACCCATCCATCCATTATCTTTACCCGCTTATTCCATTTTGGGTCACGGGGGTCGCTGGTGCCCATGTTCGGCAATCACTGTGCGAGGGGCGGGGTACACCCTGGACAGGTCTCCAGTCCATCACAGGGACACATAGAGACAAACGAGACAAACAACAATGCACTCTCACTCACACCTAGGGACAATGTAGAGTTACCAATCAGCCTAACATGCATGTTTTTGGTCTGTGGGAGGAAACCGGAGCACCCGGAGAAAACCCACAAATGCACGGAGAGAACATGCAAACTCCACCCAGAAAGACTCCCGTACCGGGATTTGAACCGGAGACCTGAGAGGCAGCAACTCTACCAGTTGTGCCACCGTGCTGCCCATAGTGTGGGTCTTTTAACTTTATTTTCACATTGTGAAAATAGAAGATTTGGTTAGTTGTCCAATTAGCATACGTTTGAATTAGCTTTGGATTAGCTTC